GCTGAGATCAGTAAAACTATTGCAAAGTTAAATTCCCGTCCAGTGTGGATAATGGTATCAGAAGTTGGGCATCAAAGGCTATCCCATAGGAATTCATCAGCTTGACAAATACTTTTTCCTTATTTTGAGATCTGATGTGGCAGCTGTGTGGTGAGACTGGGTGACATAGTGAGACTAAGAATTTATGTCTCCACTAAATGTATTTGTCTGAACAGAGAATGAGTTGTTTAAGCCAGGAATCAAGGTACATCAAACAGTGTGTAACCTATGATCTGGCTGGAGGCAAAGTAGTCATAAAAATTCTTTCCTCTGGAAAGGAGCCTCAATGGTTTAATAATTTTGTTAGTTCTGTCAAGGTTTGTCTCTTTTTTTTGCGGTGTCTTAATCTAGGTTGTGAATGTCATACCAGTAGACTGCAGAGTTGCAGGTTATAAAAAACAGTTTCTGAAGGAGGTCATATATGTTATGATCCCATTTAATATGTTTGTGTGAGTGGATGAAGTCACTGATGTGATCGGTCTTTTCCATTTTTGCAGCTTGCCTACGCTGCAGCATACACAGATGTACACCTCAAAGGCTGCAACAACTTCTTTCTTGCTCCTCAGCACAGGGTCAGGTGAACCAAAACTTGGGGTTTACTGCTGACAACAGCATTTAGCACATCTGTAGAGTTTACACTCGTACTTGTCTTGCTCTTGTCCTCTTGCCTTCATTTTCTCAGCATAGAGCAGCACCTGCAACCATCAAAAGATGCAGAGCAGGGCAGTTGAGAGGCATCCTGTGTTTTAGAACAGCACACCAAGGAGAAAGAACTGCAGACTGTAGTTAATGCCTTGGCTTTACAGACTTGGCAGCTACAACATGCCTTCCTGAAGGCACGACATAATTCTCCTCCTTATTATTTCCCTGCTTGTGATGCCTTTGCGTGTGATGGCACTCTTGCTTCTTCTCACACTGTTTCTAGTACACTTCCCATGCCTGATTGTAGTACACTTCTGGACTAACAGCTTGTGGTTTGTGTTGGTTTGCCTTTCTGAAAATAGCAAGGTTGGTTTTACAGCCACAAGATATACAGAGGAGCTATTTTTCTTTTGTACTGTTTCTAACCATACTGTTTTGTGGCAGCAGCTACACATATCATTTATATACCAGTTAGCAATAATATTTCAGAAGAACTGCTATGTTGCTTGTTATATTAGAAATTGTACGGCTATACGGCGTCTTGTAAAGTAATGATTGCAATTTTGCTAGGTGTTGTCACTAGAAATTGGAGACTCGGTAAATACTTTTTGTATACTTTTCTAGCCATATGTATGACAAATAACACAGCAATTACAGGACATTACAATATGCATCCTGTGACAGCTCATTGCACTTCTGAGCACTGCCAAGAGATACAGAAGTGTATTGGCAACAGCAGCAACACTAACGTAGAATGGATTAATATAGTATGTTGTATTTATCTAGTGCCTTTCATCAGTGATGCTTTTGACAGATAGATAGACTGTCAATGCCAACAGTACTGCACCTACTTCTACGCAGCACTTTGCCTAATGGTGAAAGAAAGAAATCCTTACCAAGGCCTGCTACTGTCTACCAGGGTCCTTTCTGCAGAGCTGTACCCCAGCCTGGATTGTGGCAGGGGTTTTCTCCTCCCAGGTGCAGGGCTTTGCATTTGTCCTTGCTGTCAGTCCATTCCTCCAGCCTTTCTAGGTCTATCCGAACAGCAGCCTGTCCTTGAGAAAACGGCTGGTCCCCCAGTGTCATGTCATCTGCAAACTTGACAAGAGGGTGCTTATTCACCTCCTCCATGGTATTGCTAAAGACATGTCCCAAGTTAGACTTCTGTTGTACCTGTTACCCACCTCCAGGTGAGCTACCCGGCAAGCCTGATTATCCAATCAGGAATTTATCCTTGTGGTTTCCCACCCAGCCAGACCTAATGACCTAGTTTGGATACAAGAATGTTGTGGGAAACAGTATTGAAATCCTTGCTAAAGTTAAGGTAAACTACATCCATGTCTCTAGTCTTGTCTACAAACCAAGTCATTTTACTGTAGAAGGCGACCAGATTGGTCAGGCATGACTTACCTTTGGTATATCAATGTGGACTGCTCCCAGTCAGCTGCTTCTCCTTCACTATCAAGGAGATGGTGGAGTCACCATCCCTGGAGGTGTTCAAAAACCATATAGATGTGGTTTAGTGGGCATGGTGGTGTTAGGTTGACGGGTGGACTTCGTGATCTTAGAGATCTTTTCGAACTTTAATGATTCTGTGATTCATGTGCTCAGAAATGTGCTCTGAGAGAACTTGCTTTGTAATGTTCGGTGACCAGCCATAATTCCATGAATCATCTTTTTTATCTTCTTTTAACGTAGTCTGGATATTTCTTTTCTTCAGTGATCAGGGATCTCCTCAAATCTCCTTCACCTATCAAAAATTAAAGCAAGCAGCCTTGCAAGGACATTGGCTAGCTCTCTCAGCATACTTTGATGCAGCCTGCCAGGTCCCATGAGCTTTCATGGGTCTAATGCTCTCAATCAATCCCTGCCTGGTCTGGTTGGGATCTACCTGACCACCTAGGGCTCGTTGTTCATCACCTCCTTGAACACTGCCTGTAGTCACAGAGACCTGGGAGACCTTGTTGGTGAAGAATGAGGCAACGAAGGCATCGAGCACCTCAGCCTTAGCTGTGTCTGCTGTCCCCCTTGACAGGACCACACTTTCCTTGTTCAGCCTTTTAGCTCTGCAAAAGCTGTTCTTGTTACCCTTAAAGTCCCGCAAGAGCATCCACTCCAGCTGAGTATTGGCTTTCCTAACACTATCCAGATTTGCCAGGAAGTGTTTCTAAATTCTTCCTTTATAGCCTGTCCATGCTTCCACCTTCCGTACATTATTTGTAGAGATGAAAGCCTTTTTGAAATTCTTGGGGCTTTTCACTAGTTTCAAAGTGTAACAGATGATTGAATTGCTTTTCCTGGAGAAACCTGATTGAATCGCTTTCCCTAGAGAAACCTACCCGGTGGCTATGTCTAAGCTTCAGGACTAATCTTTAAAATTTTATCAATCTTTATTTCAGTTTATTTATTAAACTTAAGTATGATATTTTAGTAGTTTACTTTTGTAATTCCCCTGATTACCACTAGAGCATTTTAAAAATATTTATTGCTTCCCTTTCACACACTGTAATGAGGCTGTAATGAGGTTTCACATTTTTGCTAACAGCTCAGTCATTTCATATTTAATCTTTTAGAACTCACAGGTGTTTATCTGAACTTGTGGGGTTTTTTTTACTTTTCAGTTACTAATTAACCGCAGTACTTATTCTCCCAATACCTTAGTCTACTAGAGTCTTACATTTTTTCTTCCTAGAAAAGGGCATGTCTCAGTCCTCTGGTAGAAGACCAATATACTTGGTTTCAGGAAAAGCTTCATCTAGCAGCTCACCTTTGATGATCCCATATGTGTACTGATTCTTTGCAGGTTCCCTGCTGCTTATGTTCTTGAGGAGACATGCCATCTTGTTGGAGAAAGAGGAGAGGGTTGTGGGGGGGTTAATACCATTAGTTATTTACTCTTCAAAATTAAATCTATCCATTCCTTATATTTGCTGTATGTTATCTGCTCAGAATTTGGTTCTTGTTCAATGTTTTTCTAAGCCCATATTTCTGAATTTCAAAGGATTTCTTTTTGATTCAACTAACCTCTAAACCCTTGCCACTGAGCGCTATTGATTTCTTCTCTTCCTGCTGTCTGTTGTGTTCAGAGGCATACATATCTTTTGAGATCCGATTACTGTTTTCTTCAGTGCGATCCCTGGAACACCTCTGAATTCCTTTTTTTCCTCCCTGTAGGGCCATTTTCACTTGCCTCTATATTTGCATGTTTCAGAAGCACAACTTGGAATTTGATGAGTTTCTTATATTTGTGCTTGCATTTTCTGTGGCTGAGATGAGCTTTTGCAATTTGATATCACCCACTTTAAGACAGAATTCAGTCCCTTGATTTGTCCTTAGGTGTCATCCACTAGATTTGTGCAGTTTATACAAAGTTAATTTGTGCCAGGAAAGCTCTAATGGGTTTTAGGCAGTAGACATATTGCAGTAGTTATTTTGAAACTTTAATCACTGTCGTTAAAGAACCAAAGGTATGGGAGAGCAATTCTATAGGACACGAAAATAAAGCCCAAGAGGTAAGGAGACTTTAACGGATTCTAATATTCCTTTTTAAGTCCGAAGCAGGGTTGACAAAGCTATGTTTGGAATGCTTTAGAAACCTCCAAACAGGTTAATTTTTCTTGCTTATAGGGAACAGACAAGATTAGATAATATGTAAAGCAGAAAAAATTTATTGGACTAAATAACATGAACCGTGATGAAAAGGCAGTTCATAAAACCACAACAAAAATCTTCCTATTGCTGAAAATAGTGTAGGATGTGACCTGTCTGATGGGTGCATAGTTCAGTGCAGGAATACCACTAAAAATCTGCTTTTCACTGTGTAACCCAGTAGCAAATAGAACTACTCAGCCCAGGTGCTTTGGGGTAGATTTGGTGACCTCTGGTGCTAACACTCCTGCTCCCTAGCAGCGGGGTGTGTGGTGGCACCATACTCTCATAGGCAGTTACCCAGCTTCTGTTGCTGCTTATGGCTGGAGAGACTGCAATACTCCCTTCTCTCCGTTGCCACTGCTCACAAGAGCCTCGCATGTGACAGGACCCTCTTACTCCTTCCATTGTTCTCTTTTCATCCATTTTCATTTTTTCCACCCCTTCCTTTCACTTCATATTCCTCCTTGTGTCTTAAAACCATAAAAACAATTTTTCAGTCTCACTTTGTCTTTTAAGAAAAAAAGAAAAAAAAAAACCAACCCAAACAACAAAAGAAACAGGCTTGACAGCCATCTTCCTATGTGTTGCCCTTTACTTGCCTGCAGCTCCTTCTTCCTGAAAATGTGGATTCAAGTCTCCTATGTCTCTTTTCTTCACCAACAATTAAGGTCTCTCCAGGATCTCTCAAGGCAGACGGATATTCCTTATGGCACTGTCTTCGACTCTGCAGTCTATGAGCACGTCCGCGTGAAAGGGATGAATCCTTTTGAGAGGGACAGCATGTATTCGCAAATGTGGCGGATGATTAACAGAAGTAATGGCTCAGAGAACAACGTCTTGGAGTCGACCGCAGGCATTCAAAAGGTACTGATATGACTTTTTGCTTCTCATTGGAGATGCTCTGCTGTAACACCTCATTTGCTTAGTTGTTCCTTTTAAATACAAGGGATGCATTTGCATCCAGATGATGATCACGCTTGGTACCAATTTGTGCATCGGCACGGAGGGTTGGGACTTCTCAGCTATGCAGCTTGTTTTCAACAACATTTTAAAATGTAGGTACCTGGACTGTTTGCTCTGAAAATAATTTATAGGTATGAGAGATGAATGCATTTGTCAGGATGCAAAATGGGAATTAGATGACTGGACATACAACACTGGAAGATGTGGCAATGTACTGTAGAAAGCTCAAAGCACTTTGAATACAAGGCATTGATTAACTTATTTTTGTAGACTCTTGACACTGAAAATCTTGGCTTTCAGCTGTAGCTCTGACTCATATGTTTTGAGAGAGGGTAGAAAAGATGATCTGGCTTTAAAGAAGAGTCTCACAGCCACCTTCTGTAGTGGGTTTAGCGGTGGGAAAATACTTTAAGAGCAGGAGTCAATTTTTCTAGGCACATTTGTGAATGCAATAGTTCCCTCCCATGTTTTTGGTTGACAGCTACAGCTTTTGTAAGAACACTAGTCTGAGAAAGGATTCAGTATGAGAGTGGATATGGGTTAATGACTGACTGTGTACAAACTTTTTCCCTACCATTGTATCTTTATATTCAGAGTTTTAAATCAAATCTGAGAAATACCATATTTTATAGATTTTATTTTTAACTTCAAAATGTGAAAGTTGATTGGAGCAAATACCAATGCAGTTGTGTGTTCACTTGTTTTAAGCTTGGCTTAGAGACTTCTTAAAAATCCAGACAAGCTCTGCCTTTTGTCTCCACCAAAATCCGTTTGCCAGGAAAGCCTGTCATTTCTGGTGTTTTCACACTGGATAAAAACACGTAAGAGAAAAGAATATGTTAAAAAGAATGGTGAAATCACAGGTGATCTCTTGATAATAAAAGAAATACAAAATAACGAAGATTCTTTGGAGTTTCAAAAATCACTAATGCACCCTCTGTATAACTGAGATCATATTTTCTTTTCTGAAGGACCAAACAGCATGAAAGAAGAGGCAAGAGAGGCCCTGGGGAACTGCAGTTTTGAAACCCCTTTAGATAAAGTCATAATCTGAAAAGGCAAGGGAAAAAAAAGACAGTCTGAAAATTTATTGGGTAGAGGAAATAGCTTTTTTTGATAAAATATATTTTAGCTCAGTTTGTAAGGGGCTGATAAAGCTGGATTTTGCCTTCTGTATTAAGAGAATAAAAGCTGCCTTCCTCCTGGTTTGCTTTCCCGAGTTATACTAAGGGTTTGAGAAGAATTAAAAACCAGAGCACGCCAAACACAGCTGTGTTGACTAATGGCTTTTAGCTGAAAAAAACCACCAGTGTATCATGCTGGCAGGTGATTCCAGATTACAGTCTTTGATTTCTCATTCCTGGAAACATGGCAGTTGCTGTCCCAGAACCTACAAACCCAGAAATATCTGAGTTCTTTAACTTCCCATGCCTCTGCTTCCCAGGAATAAGCACTTGCAAATGGTGATGTTGAAAAACCAAGTTGCGGCATGTGAGCAAGCCAATCACTCTCCAATTTTAAAATATCAGAGGGCTCAGGCCTGATTCTAATGAACATACACATCCACATATGTGTCTGCAGTTTCTCCCCTCTCACCTTACAGGAAGAAGTGACACAGAAAAAGATTATTTGCCAGTTGCTGTTCACACAGAAGCTTTTGGGAGATTGTATTTGGCCTGCTCAGGAAGAATGTGATGTCAAAAGCTAATCTTAGGCAAGGAAAATTAATACTTTGAAAGGTAGCTGATAAGAAGCAGAGATTATAATCCCGGTAACATCCTTCAAAAAAAGTTTTTCAGAGGAAAAATTTGTGGGTCTCCTTGCTCTATTTATATACTTCGTAATGTTCTTTGGGGTCTTGAAAGAATTTAACTGGCCACATCAGAGCTATTAACTCAATCGGACTATAACCCTGGACAAGCTAAGCCAACAGGTCTCCTTCTGTGCTTCATTTTGTTTCTACCATTAATCAGCACTTAAGTGTGACTGGACAGCACCTTAGCACATGTTCCTGGAGTGCCAAGTGAGGGCTGAGACTTAATGAGTGCTTCCAAATGGGTACGGGGAAAGGGATTTCCACTAGGCTGTCTAATGACCATGAAGGGACTGTGATAGGAGGGACCACCATGGGAGAGAGGTGTGCAGGAAGGATGTTACGGACACTGTGGACATGCTCTTCTTTAACAACACTGCCTGCTGCATGGTCTCTGAGGTTAAATGGGATTTGCAAGTAGCCACCACAAAAGAGGCTTTGCCAAACATTTTTGTTGTATCTTAAAAGTCCTTTAGTTTTATCTTGCTTTTATTCTGCAAATTACAGTGGAGCTGGCACTCATTTTATTTTGAGGAAAGTAGCAGTTTAATACTAATGTATGTATAAACAGGGGGAAAGGGAAAGGGGATCAACCACTGATTTACTCATTGCATCGTCCCGCTCACTCAGCAGGACTGCGTGCTTGCTGTACCAGTGACTTCATGGGGAATGGCACCTCTGTGAGTGAAAATACAATACAGCCAAATGACAATGATTGCGTAGTCCCGTTTTGCATCAGGCAATCTACCGCTTTGACATGCTTTTCCTGGCAGGAGGGCAGGGCAGGCAAGAGAAATAAAATGGGAGGATCATGTCTTTGTAAGTTTTCAGGTTTTGATATTTATTGGTCCTGTTCTTCTCATAAATCAGGTGCATACATATCATTGTGTGTGCTCCTATTCCATCCATAGTGAACAGCTGTATACACCATCAGGTCTGGTTAGAGCGCAGCTGAGTAGGTTTACCTCGAAGAGAGAGCAGAGTCTGAACTACCTCAAACAGGAGACAGCCTGAAAAGCACAGACACTTTAGATACTTTCTGCCACTTATTGTCTCTTCCTTTCTCAAAACGCCACAAAAAGCAGTTGAAGATCTGAATTGGAGGTAGGGGAGCATTCAGTTATTTGTCTTCCTGCTCAGTCATATCAGAATAAATGGGGAGGTAGCTGTATTCCTAGATATGCCTGGATTATTCTGGAGAATATTCACTTTTATCTTCTTTTTTTCTTTATTACTCTTAAGTATTTCATGTATCTTAAATTGATTTTCCTTTTTTACGTAGGTTATGAAATATGCATCTCATTCTGTCAAAGGAATCTCTATTTTTGTGGAAATTATTTATTCGAAGAGGATTTGCTGAGGCCTAAGTCATGCCTACTTAAACATTCATTGAGGACTCCAAGAAAAATAATTTAGGCTTAAACATATCACATTATATACCTCTTTATGTCTTCTTAAAAAGCACATTACCCTGCTTAATCCTTTACAAGCACCACAGGCTTTCTTATCCTTGGAACTATTCCCATTTAAAATATAATGAAGCGCTTCCATTGTGCACCTGTCTGCTCTTTCTTCTCTAGAGTATAATAGTGCCTAATGCCCTATCCTACCCACCTTGTTCCTCTGAACATGATACCATAGCCTACAGCGTCTGCATTTTTCTCAGCAGTACAAAGTGGAAATTCCTTTCCCAGGCTGCATAGGCAGAATCCAAATGTGTTTGAAATCTCTGTCTGTTTAACTCTGTCTGCAAAATATTTAGCCAGTGAATGACTGTCGGGTGAAATAATGCTTCCGGATGGCACATTAAAAGAAACTTCTCTTAGGCTTTCATAATATTACTTCTTCAACTTGCACACACTATCAAAAGAAATTTGGTCCTGAGATTTTGATTTTCTTGTGATCCTACTTGCATTGCCAGTGGAAACATTCTAGCAACTGCTGAGCCTGCTTGTTTTCCCTGAATGCTGTAAGTGGCACTTTGACCTCCTGAAAATCTGTAATAGTAACAATACCTTTGAAAGTACCTATGGATAGACCATATCAAAGCTTTGCTAAGGTGATTTTTCTGGGGAAGAAAGGGGTAATAATGATTTGTGATTCTGTGCTAGAACAAATTGTTAATAACTGCACATGGTTATTCTTAATTTGTTTTCAGTAATATCAACAGCATGAAGATTTCTGCTGATGGGCCCAAAAACTCCTCAATTAACTGATTATACTGATTTACTCACAAATTCGCCATTGGAATTGCAATTCTTGTGGCAGATTCACTGATCACACAACAAAAAGATCTTGTTAATATATGCAAGTCCATACATCTTTGTTATGAACATTTCTGACCATGGAGTTGGCCAATAAAAAGACACTGAAAACAAGAGATAA